ATTTACATCTTGGTTACTCACTCTGCGCTTCGGCCCAGCCCGGGAGAAGAAATTGGCCCCATGGGATTAGGTGAGGCTTTGTAAAAGCATCTCTCAAATCCGTATCTCGGGCCTCCATCTGGGAGAGAGGCTCCTGGACTCCCCTCCGGGGCCTCCTCCCACCCCCTCCTCGCACAGGTGGTTGCGGCTCACTCTGGGAGAGCTAGCAGGAAGGACATCCTGGGAGAAAGGCAGCTTCGCAGTGTCCCGCCCGGCCTACCCTCTGCCCGCCCCTCACCCAGGCCCTTCTGCCCGCCCGCGGGGGGTCAGCGGTGGCGGCGAGCTCGCCTCGGCTGCGCCCTGGTCCACGCGCCCTGGGCGCGGCAGGAACCCCGCAGGGAGCGGCTGCTCCCTGGGGAGCATTCCAGAACCAGGCAAAGAAGTCCCACCAAAAATAAATAAATAAATAAACTCCAAAGGGGGGAGGGGGAGCTGGAAAATGGATTCGCTGACAAGGAGAGATAATAAATGAGAGGCGCTTTCAGATAGATATCTCAGACGTGAAATTGCGCCCAGCTGGTTGTGTAAGCAAACAAATAGTTTCATGTTAGGAACTCTCAACTTGTGGCTTGATGAATAGAACACGACAGAGGTAAATGGGTCTTTAACTCATTTAGGAATACAACTCTTTGGCTTTGCAAGTAAAAGGCCCAGTGACGCCACGAATCCTGAGCAGGCCCTCTAACAAGAGTTTTATTAGTTTCCACTTGTGTCTCCCAGCCTACCCTCCCCGCTCTCCATGGTTTTCCATTTGTAGAGACATTCAGGTGATTTGTTCTGAAGAATCGAGTAGCTTACAGGAGGTGATTCTGGCACTGTAGGAGATACAAGGACTGCCTATACGCTGAAGAGGAGGATTTTTTTTTTTTTTTTTTTAAAGAAAACTTTTTGCACTCACCAAGCAGCCGAGCTCAGGTGGGTTTGGATCGAGGGAGCTCCATATCCCTAGTGTCCCTGAGCTCAAAGCTGGTCGGTGGGCCTCCGGGAGCCCTGTGAGACCCTTTCCGACAGCCAGAGACCGAGGGCCTGAACCAACGTAAGGGGCAGAGTCCCGGAAGCCCAAGGTTGTTCCGGTGGCCAGAAGGGAGGCCCATTCCCACCCCTGGGCTTCCCCCAGGCCTGGTCGCAGGGTGGGGTGTGCCTGTGGGGGCAGAGGTCGCATCTTAACTCCCTTGCGCCATTCTTTGTCCCCAGGCGGCGGAGGAGCCGCAGCCTGGTACCCTAGAGAGTCCTAGAGGATAGCGCGTCCTAAGATGGCTTTTTTTTTTTTTTTGATGCTTTCAGAAAAGCTTGTGGCTAAAGTAGTTTAAACCGACTTCAAAGCCCCTAAATTTCTCAGTCGCCCAGCAAGCGTTTGGGTTAGAAGAGGGAGTGTTTGACTTTCATGTGTCACAGGTAATTTTGAGAGGGAAGTCACCTTGTGTGGGCCGCTCTCCAGCTGTTAAGCTGTATTTCCTCTGGTCCTGGGGACCCAGTCAGTCGTATCACACCCGGTTAGCCCAATCCTATTCTCCCAACTCCTTAGGGCTGCTAAGCCTCCGTAGGCCGAGGCATGACTGCGAGCCCCAAGGTGACCGTAGGACCTACACCTGCCTGTGGCCTCACACCCAAGTTCCACTGCTCCCCCTGGCGCTCGTTTCGAAAGCGGGCTCATCGCTCAGGGGCCTCCCGGCGGCCACCCAGGCAGAGGAGACTCCCACCTGCTCCATGTCTCCTTTTGCCCACTGGCTTCCAGGATCTGAGGGGGCACAGGACCTTGAACGGAAGCGGCCCGACCCCTACTGGGGCTGCCCTTCGCACAGCAAGGAGGCCCCGGGGCCACTAGAGCCCCCCAGCTCTTGGGCCACGGACACTGGTCAGCCCCGCCAAGGAGCCTTTAAAACGCCCTGGGAGCAGAGAGGACGCTTTCTCGTGGTCGGAAGGTTTAACCCATGGCTTAAACGCTGCAGTCTCGGCTCCAAAACGTGCCTTAGCAGGATCAGATTTGTGGGTCCCGACTGCGCGCTCTGAGAGTGAAAAACCACGGAATGCAGGCAGCCGGTCTTGTACCGCGGGGTCGCCCACAGGGCCACTGAATCTCTGGGGAATCTCTGTCTCTCTGGCTGGGACACACAGAGACCTCTGAAGACAACTGCCTTTCCGTATGTACCAGGGAGACAGCACAGGAGAAACCCTCTGCCTGCGGGTCCCTAGACCGGCCCCGCCAAGAATGGGAGCCGACCACCTTTTCCCTCTCTCTTCCGCTCGGCCCCAAGTGTCCTGGTTCCTGGACTGAGTCTGCGAAGGGGTCTGTGAAGCCATACGTAGGAAGGCCTGCTCTGCTTCCTACACCGTGCTTGGCCAGCCCGGGTCTTGCACCCAGGCTGAGGAGGGTCGCCGGATCCCTCAGGCCATGAGCAGCGCTTCCAGCCGCGTCAGGCAAGAGGCAGGTTACCGCTGTCACCTCTGGACCCCACAGCAAGTGCCTCGTAAACCCCGGGCCTCGGCTTGCGGGCCAGTCCCCACACTGGGCACTTTGTGCTTGGGCCTCCATATTGAAATTAATTGAAAAATACGTTTCCGACCTACAAAAATGTTTATCTGTTTTCATCAGAGGGATCACACTGTAATGAATATATTTACATCTCATTTCAAGAAAGGCAGCAAAGATCCGTGAGCGTTTGGAGGCAGCTCGATTCCCCTCCCCCTCCGCGCCGGGCTGCTGCCTACCCCACCCCAATTCCCACATTCCCTGATCCCGCAGCCCGGGAGGGCTCTCGGAGACTTCCTGGGAGGCGGTCAGGGGTTAAATAGGAGCTCTTCCCTCGCCCCTCCTGCCTTGGGTGCTCACTGTGCAGGGAAGTCAGCCTAGGCCCAAAGACACTAACTACCCCTGGGTGTAGTGCAAAGGCTGAGGCCCAAGGCAGGTGGGGACCCATGGGACGGTGGGACGGCCTCTGGCGGCCCCACACACCACACGCGGTACCCACCCAGTCTCCCAAAGTCTCAGGCCGGGCGGCGGGCGACCTGCGGGGGTTTCTCCACACAGAGCCCGGCATTGCCCAGGCTGCACTGCACCTAGAACAGGAAGACTTCGGGCGGCTTAGAGCTTGTTAATACATTTTTTAAAGAGTGGGGGAACCTGGAGATTCCCAGGCAGCAAAGGAAAGCAAAACTTTTGTCAATGACTTCTGAAAGTGAAGCACTTGCCTCATCCAAGGCCTGTTTGGGGTGAGGGGCGGGAGAGGAGGTGAGAGGTGTTATTTCAAAAGATCGGGCTTTATTAATACGTTAGGAAAAAGCTCCCTTGGTAGTATGTGTTCTCGCAACACCGACTAGAATCCTATAAAACATTCATGCTCCAAAAGCTGTAACAGAGAGCAGCACCCCCCCCCACCTTCGCCCCCTGCACACCCAAAGTGAGGCCTCAGCGTTAGGTTTCTGCCCTGAATGCTCCACTAGGGCCCAAACGCTGCTTCTGTAAATAGTGAATCTAGCCTACCTAGCTCACCAACCCCCAGGTTCCAGGTCCACGTCCCTAAGTGCCACAGGAGGGCCTTTCTGTTCGCTCAACTGAGCTTGAGAGCCCTCCAGGGAACCCCTGTCACAGGGTCTGGAGTGAAGGGTAAACCCTAGCCTGCTATGCTCCAGACCAAAGGGGGAGCAAAGCTAGGTTTGGCAGCGCTGAGGCCCTAACTCTGTCTCCCAGAGCTGAGGAGGGGCCAATGGTCTTCTGAGAGGCTTCTGAGCGGCCCTCTCCTCCCTAGACCCCCACAGTCAGCTCTCCATGCCTCTCTTCACAGCCTCTCCAGCCAGGCACGTTCCCACCTGCAGTCACTGTAGCTGGTGGCTACCGAGACTAGGCCTCCACTTGGGGCCGAGCCGAGCCTACCCCAGCTGCCTGCTTAGCTCCATGCGGAGCACCAGCCACCCGAGAGGTGACATGAGCTGCTGGGGGCAACCAAGGTGCCCTGCCCTCTCCCTGCCCACCCCAGCCCATGCAGAGCCTGATCCCCTGCATTTACAAAACCAAGGCAGCGTCTTGGGTTTAGGAAATAAATCTAGACAACTTTGTAATGGACCTTAAAAGTTTCCACCTCACCTCCCCATTCTAATAATAATTGCAGTGAAAATTAATTGGAGGGTTCTCTTGCACTTATGACATCTGTCAAGTAACCAGACACATGGGTTTTGCTAAATTCTTTTATTTTTGTTTAAATTTTCACTTCAATTTTAATTCTTGAAGAACAGCCTCGACAACATATATCGCACTCATTATAAGAAGCAAAGGGTTATATCAAAAATTATTAGTATAGAATCACAGGAAATCTGGTTTGGAACCAGAAAAAAATACAAAACAGATATAGATACATAGACACAGGACAATTTTTTTATAATTATTTGGAAAATGTTATTTTCCCCTAATTCTTGTTTCCTTTTTTTATGTGCATACGATGTTTAAATTTTACAAAAAAATGAAAATAAAGACTAGTATTTTACAAAATGAATAACAATGTTTGGGGTGTGTATGTGTGTTTGTGTGTGCGTGTGTGTGTGTGTGTGTTTCTACATAGAATTCAGTCCACTTCCATGTGTGTTGTTTTTCTGTACAGAATATATCCACATCCGTCCACAATAAATCCTGGAAGGTCCATTAGTCTCCTTCTGTTTTATTAAAATTCTCATGGTCCTCTCTTCAATTTTTTTTTTTTTTTCCTTTTCTCACCAGACACAAGGTCCTTTTTCTTTCCTTTCCAACTTGTTCACAGATCTGATCCTAAAGAGAGTCTCTTTTTCTCCTGGTTTGCAGCTCGGGTTGCATTCCTGCAGGGTGGGCTGCTCCTGTTGGCCCAGCCCACCTCCCCCCTGCCTGGCTGCACCCTGCAACAGCCACCTGATGTCCCCGAAGCTTTGGAGTCCATGGCCCCCGCCGGTCCTCCGAGTCTCTAGGGGGGTGGGGGCAGGTGGGAAGTGCCCAAGGTCTAGGAGCACTGGATGGACATGTAAGGCCAGTTGAAGCTGCTCCCAGACAGTAACATATCCCGGATGAGAGTTTCGATGGGGGTTTTACCTACCAAACGGACGAAGAAGAGCTGCTCGATGACCGAGGAGGACACGGTACGCAGGGAGGGCAGTCGCAGTAGGAGTTTGCCGAAGCGGCTGGGCTGGTTAGGGTACTGGCTCCTCACATACTCCTCCAGTGCACACTGCGACTTCTCTTGCAGGCTCTCGATATGGGCGGCATCCGACAGGCCACAGGCATCTGCCCGAGCAGCCACAAGAAGGAGACACAAGGGGAGAGGATACACAGGTTAGTGAACAGCAAAGGCACAAACAAGCCATTCAATTTTTTTTTTAAGTTGGTAAAAGAGGGAAAAAGAAAGAGAAGGGAAAAGAAAAAAAAAAATCTTCCTCTCCATACCTCCCCAATCCTTCCTCACCATTCCCCCCACTCAGACCCCAGTACAAATAAAAATAAATCAAACCCCCACCAAGCCTAGGGGAGCTGGAGACAGAAGCACACACATGCAGAGGCAGCAACCTCTCTAGTCTCTTTGTTTTTCCTCTTTCACCTTTGGATTAAATAATGTACGATGCTGGAGCCATGTTTGCTGTGCGTAGCAACCTGTCCTCCGCCTGCAGGGGTGCATCTTTCCGCTGTGCTCATTAAAGTGAGGACTTTTGCCCCTTTTGCCCCTGATTTCAGGGTGTTCAGAAGCCCTGAAGAAATATGTAGCCTGGAGGTAGTTCTTACAGGCTTCTTGGAGTCCTCCCTCTCAAACCCAAATGACCCCAACCAAAATCTTCAAGGAGAACCTAGATTGTATAGTGAACAAACGCATGGGAGGGGGAAGGAGTCATGGGCTGGCATTGCATGGAATCAGATCAAGCCCATGCTTTAGCACTATAGGATTTGAGATCCACTATCTATGCAAGCAAGAACTCTGCAGCAAATCCTTGGTGAGGGTGTATACTTCTATCTGTGCTTTAGATCAAGTAATTGAAAATTGGTCACATCTCTGTAAGCTGTATAATAATCAGGAGGAATATGGCTCAGTTACTCCAGGCTGCAGGAAGGAGACATCTTCAGCGATCAGACACAAAGCTGGGCTAGAGGCAGCTGCTGTTGCTGTTTCCAAACTGGGAGCTGGGGAGTTTAGGGGGGATTTGGGGAGATGGGCTTCCTGTTGCAGGACCAAGGGGAAAAAGGCACTTGCACACAATGACAGCATCTTAAAACCTGTGTGTTTATCTCATATCAACCAAGGCTCCTCACGGTCTCCTAAAAATATTTCAAGACAGCAGTTTATACTATATCAACTAACTAACTAAAGGCGAAGAAGTGGAAGAGAAGGGGGAATTAGAGGAATGAAGTGAAAGCTTCCTCTCTGAGTTCAAACACCCATGCTATTTCTTGTATTAATAATAAATATTTTAAAAACAGGAAGATCACAGAGGAGCCCTTAGCCAGTCAGGAGGTTGACTAGAGATCAAAGGCAGAGTTTGCTAATATATAGATCTGGGAAGAAACTCATACATGGCAATGCCCCCAAAAGGACGTTATATAATTGTGAATGGGTAAATGTGACCCTAAGAAGTCACACCAAATGATTCAAAGTGAAACCCGTGTCTGCTGAGTTCCTCAGCTTTATGTCTTTATATTTCAAGAATTGGGATGTACAAAGCATTCTAACACCTTCATCTACAAGGCAATGGCCTTGAGCAAAAATACAAATAAAACCAGTGCTAATTCAAGAACTTCTAAGGCAGGTCCCCTCTGACCCCAGATCCAGAATGGGTTCCTCTCAGATGTCTAATTACTCCAGCCAGCCACTTGGGTGCATCCACACTGGCCTGACTGGGGAAGCCAGTGAGATTTTTATGGCTAGAAGGGCGAGGGCAGAAGCACTTTGGGGCTTCACTGCTTAGAGAGGGGACCCTGAGGTCTGCCCTTGGTCCTGATTGCTAACCTGGCCCTGCTGAAAGGCCACTATGCAGACTCATATTTACATATATCTTGCTTTACATGCATTATCTGCCCATTATGCCACAGGATCCCTTTCAGCCTTAGACAATGCAGGATGAAAAAGACCCACTGATACCCCAGCAGATTTTTTTTCTTTTAATCACCCATATGGCATTCCCTCAGGTCTGTAAAATATTTATCTGATATTTACAATTAGGGCCCCCAGAGTGCAAGGACACTACTCTTCTCCCAGCTATGTCACTCCAAAAGAAAGAAGCCCAGGAAAGGCTTACTTGGGCCCTGTGCTGGCTGCTTGGATTTCTTTCCTCCTCTGAAGGCAGAATGCCTGTAGCTGGGCCTGGCTGCCAGGTGCCAGCCGGCCAGCTCTGTGGCCTCTCTCCAGCAGGAGTCCTACTTCAGGCCTGGATTCCCACTCTAGATATTCATTCCCTCTCTGGATATTCCTGCAACAGGATCCCCCCCAACTATGGATAGATAGTGTGAGCTCTCAGATCGATTGGGTGGTTGTGGTAGCAAAGCTAGGTGAGCAGGGGGTGTAACGCAGTACATACTTAGACCCCAGGAGATATACCCAAGATAAGAAAAGGGGGTAGAAACGTACAAAATCAATGTCTCACTTTTTATATGGTAGTGTCAATATTTCTCCTAAAGTATATGGGAAAGAAATTATGTAAATAAATAACCATAACTGCTCAGGCCCTCCCGGCTTAGCCTTTGTAGTGCAGAGAATGTATTTCATGTTGTGCATTCAGAAGAGTTTAGTGTTCAGGAAATATAGATGTAATCAGCTGCCATAACTAGAAATCAAAGTTATTATTGTGGTGAAAATGGATTTATTGTATTTATGTTAACTAGATGGCTCCTTTCAGAGGAGGTCCCATTTATTTGAGGGAACATTTAGGTGTATGAATTAATGAATTTTTTAAAAAAGTAAGTTCAGGTCATGACCTAGTCCTTGGATGCTGTCCAGAATATTAAGGATTAAGCATACCATCCGGAGGCCAAATGTGAAAACCACCACAGGGAACCCCCGTGCCAGCTTCAAATACTTAGCCGGAGCAAACCTCGTTGGACAATATGTCTAAAACTGTCTTTTCCATCATTCAAAGTTTGCTTAAAAGTTGGATGACTTTGAGAAGGCTTCCCATGAATTCCCTTCTGGCTAGCAATCAAAACAAGTTTAGTCAAAAGTGGAAATGTGTTGTATGGAGGAGGGGGGTGAATTACTACTGACAGCTCCATTTCCATTTTCAGATATTCTGCTTGCAATTTCCAACAAAATAATGTTATTGTTCGCTTCTCAGCCTCCTTTGCACCTTGAAGACTTTGTTCAAGTAACTTCTTCGGGAAAACTTTTTAAAAAGGAACACTTTTCACGGGGATGTTTTAGGATGGCAAGTTGAAAGAAAAGCATGAATAATTCCACAATCCTCCCTGCAGCCAGCACGGTCCTTGCCTCTCTCTGGGAAAGGGCAGGAGATCAGAAAAGTCAAGGGAGTTCAAAGAACCTTAGTAGGGGACAAGGGAAAGGGAGGAAAGATCTTTCCTGAGAAGACCTCTGTCCAGCTCCAAGTCACATTTCTGCTTCAAGACACCTCACTGGATGAGATTTTTAAAACCCCAGCTTCCCCGACACTGGCTTGCTTCCTGATTAATTTGGCTAAAGAGCTGGGTAGTAGAGAGCCAGCCAGGCCCCAGGCCTGCCAGAGCTAAAGCAGCCCGGTTGCTGCTTCCCAGGCTCTTTGTCACTTTTGAAAAACACGTTTCCATCAAGAAGACTTATTAAGATAAAATGCATTCAAACACTGAGGAGGCTATTCAATAAATCTTCCATTTGTTTTAAGGTTTGCACTTTATCCTCTTGCAAAGAATAACTCCCTCTCCCACTAGCAGACCTGCATTTGCACTGAAAGTAAAAGGGGGGCAGTCCAAGTCCATGGCTCTGGCCACCCTGCATACAAATGAGATGCTCTTGTCTAAATAAATTATCTGCTGTTCAGATCGATATTAATACTACATTTGCTACATTACAATATTGTGCAAATTTAAGAGTCATTTTAATACAATGTAAATACGATTCTTCACGCATGAAAGCCAGGAAATATTGATAGATTATACCATTGCTTACTGTTCAACAAGGCCTTGGGAAAGGGGTTTTGCCATCTCTGCTCAGGAATGGTTTTAATTTGGCCTTTGGAGGTCCTGGCTCTAGGATAGATTTATTAGGATGGTTTATTTGTTCTCTGAATGGAGAAATTAAAAACAATAGTGCCAATAATGGGGGTAAAGCTGCAGCTAACCCTACTCGCAGTGGGCAAGGCCGGAGACCCAATCTGAGCAGCTCTGTTCCCCACCAGCCTCCTTTCTGGCTTTGTTTATATTTCCCCCCATTACCTGCTGTCCCGGGTGTTTATATGTTTCCCTCTTGCAGGTTACAATAATAAAAAGCGGGCAGTGTTCTCAGAGGCTCAGACTAGAGCCTTCAAAGGCAACGTTAATGCACTTTCCTGGAAGTTAATTTGAACCATCTATCATAAGAGAAATTGTTAACATGCATGTTACCACCACCTACATTTAATTTGATATTTTTAAGGCACTCTGTTAAATTTCCAATGTTCATGTGTTTTGCATGGCTATGAGATTTATCTCTGGGGCGGGAATCCTCCCATACTTGCGGGATCTACAGTGTTCCTTTTGTTTTTTATCTTTCTTGTTTAGATTGAAACCGTTTTTTACGACCCTCAATAACCTCAGCAACTGCAAACATGAATGGTTTCCGATAAGGGAAAATCAGGCAGCAATAAAGCGGGATTATTTATGATTTATTTGCGCGTATTCTTCTCTTTCCACCTCTGTGTGTGTCTCTCTGTGTCGGGAAACTCATCCAGGGAGCTTGCCACACAGAGGAGAAAGCCACATTCCCACGTTCTCTTCCTTCCCTCTCCTCCCCCAGAAACACTAAGCGCTGGCGCACACACACGCACACGCTCATCGCACACACATACACACCGCACACTCGCGCAGCCAGACAGATCCAACACCCCCCACGCACACACGAGACGCGCACCCGCCGCCGCCGCCGCCGCCGCCGCCGCAGCCCCTCGTGGGGGTCCAGGCCCCCAGGTCGGGCCGCCCGCCGCCCGCATCCCAGCCGCCTCGGCTCCCGCACCGCCGCGTTCCCAAGATGGCAGCGGCGCCGCGGGCCGCGTCCGGGCGCGGGGGCCGCAAGTCCCGGCCGGGCCCAAGGTCGGGCGAGGGCCGGCCAGGCCCGCGCGGCGACGCGGCGTAGGAGGCCGGGCCCCGCGGAGCGCGGCCTACTGTCGCTCCCGGCGCGGCCTGCCCGCCCAGCGGCCACAGCCTCACCTGACGTGAACAGCACGATGGCTTTGAGGCAGCTGTACTCGGCTGAGTCGACGTGCAGCGCCTTGAGCTTCTCCACCTGCTCCTGGAAGATGCGGATGTGGTCCATGAAGGCCACGACGCGGTCGGCGGACATGGGCGAGGCGTGCAGGCCGGCGGCGGCCAGCAGCGGCGCCACGTGCAGCGGCATGGAGCACTGGGCCGCGTTGAGCACGAACAGCTCGCTCCAGGTGAGGCGCAGCAGGGACACTTGGTCGGTGATCTGCAGATCCGGGAAGAAGGGGATGTTTCGGGCCCACTCGACGGCGCTGAAGAGCAGGCGCGCGGCCAGCTCGCAGATGTTCTCGATGCCCATGATGTTGTTGGGCTGCATGCATTGGCTGCCGTAGCGCGACGTGGGGTAGGGTTCCGCGCGCAGCAGCAGCGAGATGTAGCCGGACAGGTAGCAGTGGCCGTTGAGGGGGTCCCCGTTGGTGAGTGCGTACTGGCCTGGATTGGGTTGGGTTGGAGGCATTCTTCCTCGCTGAACCGCTGACAAAAAGAAAGAGAGAAAAGAGGCAATGTGCATCCAGGGGGCTTGCGAACATCGGCGTGCCGCAGCGCACCCGACACAATGCGGAGGCTCTTTCTGCAGCCACAGGCGCCCGGTGCATCTTCTCTCGCGCTCGCTCTCACTCACAGCCCACACCCGGAGGAAATCTGGGGTGAGGGCCTCCAGCTCCGCGGCTCAATTTGCCCAGCCATCGCCTGAGCCCCTGGCCACCCCAACCCTGCCAGAACTAGGCCTGACCTCAGGGCCCCCAGCCCGGCATGGTCAAGAAAGCGCACCCAACCCCTTCACCACCAAGGTGTAACACTCAGGTTAATGAAATACCACTCACCCCTTCAGAATGAAACAAATCAAAGTAAAGCAAAAACAAACAAAAAAGAACAGGCGAACACCAGAGAAAGGTTGTGGTTCTAGGCAAATGCCTAGCCGCCTCTTCATTTGCAAGCAAGCAGTGTTTTGCTCAAAATGTTTCCATATTCTCCCCAAATGCTATAGAATTATCCTTAAAATAGATACAAGTTACATAACCACTTACAACTTTTGAATAGAAAACAAGTATCCTGCACCCCTCCCCTGTCCCCTCCTCCCCTTCGCCCCACACAAAGTTCACTCTTAAAAGCAACAGAAAATTGAAAATTTTCAAGAAAAAAGTTGAACTTACAGTAGCCAAACATTATTGAAAAAAGTGGGAAATAGAATTAATGTCTGTCCTGTGAGGTGCCACTGCAACCTGCAGCCAGCTTTTGCCCAGTGAATGCACGAGCTTGCAACTGCAAAAACACTGGATTCATTAACCATCTGAATGCAAAACGTAAGCATGCTTTGAGTTCTTAAAGCTGACCAAAGTTTTTTTTTTTTTTTTTTTTTTTTTTTTTTTTTTTTTTTTTTTTTTTTTTTTTTTTTTTTTTTTAATGTGTATGTTTTACTTCAACAGTGCCAGCGCTTTAAATTGCCATGTAAACAAAGACAACTTTAGGAAAAGTTAGGGCTACTGAACTCTCCCCCCAACAAATTAATATAGATATGTCCATGTACACATAGCTGTCTTATTTCAAGTTGTGCACTATTTTCTTAAGTTTGCTTTGATTCTAATTTTAATGCAAGCCCCAATGCAATTTAAGCTCTTGAAACATAACAGCTAGAATACTTTTTTCTAATTATAGTTTTGAACTTGGCAGTTATTTTTCAATTAAATGAGAGCACAATTCAGTTTTTTTTTTTTTTCAGATGCCTACAAAATCTCCCTGGAGCTGGAAATGAAGTCGTCATATTTGCCTGCTCCTTGAGATCTGAAGGAATTCAATTTCTTTTCTTGTGGCATATAAAATATAATTTTAAAGTCAATTACAAGAAGGAGTAATCTGCATTCTGCAAAATTGACTGGTTCGCTAATTTGACTATAAGACATCTTTAATGATTGTCAGGAGATAAACTTTAACTGTAAACGGCTAAGTATATTTATAAGAAAAGTGCTGCATCTCCTGCCACATGAACATGAAGCATATCTAAATACAACATCAAAAGTTGTGTTAAAAGAAACCAAACCCATACAACACAGGGATTAAATGAAGGGGAAGCTCATGCCAGCTGCAGTCTATGCATTATAGCCAAATCAGAAGGATCGGTAAATGCCGTTGTAAATTGTAATTTGTATGCAGTATTTAAGCAGAGGGTGGAGTTTGATGAAGAAATAAAACGAGTATCATGCTTTAAAAAAAATGACACAACTATGAAAGGACGGTTCAGTCACAAACTTTCCTTTCAAAGTAGAGGGGTGAAAACAAGGCCACAGCTCTGGAGGAGGCGGCCCCAGCTCGGTGAAGAGGAGAGGGAACCAGTGAACAGGCCAGAAGCCCCCCTTCCCCCCTAATTAGACCTACAAGTGCAATAAATCTCACTCCTCTTTTTCCAAGCTAAGCTTCCAAAAGGATGATGCAGCAGTGAATCTATGGTTCTGGGTACTCCAGTCCCCAGCCCTCCCCAATTTTAAATAAAGGGTATGAAGAGGTGGAGGGGAAAGTGGAATGAAAAACACAGAAAAGAGTTTTCTGGGGGAAATAAGCACCCCCTCCCCAAGTTCATGCCAGCACAGCCCCCAAGCACCCTCACGCACACGCGGGAAAGGGACACACACCGAGCACATCCAAGACAGAGGAAGGAAGGGGATTTTCAGCCACAGCTCACGATCCCAGGGACACAATCCTGAGCAGGCAGCGGGAGGGGTGGAGGAGCCGGGGAGGG